GGTGCCCAGTGAAAGGCAGAGAGGCCGACAGCATGTGCTGGCTTGTCTCTGCATCTGTCCCTGCTGGTCCCATGAGCTGGACAAGCTGTCAGGCAGGTCAGAGGGCCACTGTGCCACTGAACACAGGCTGCAAGCTGGCCCAGAAACGAACCCAAGGAGGCCGGCCCCCGGGTGCCCTCTCTTACCACCAGCTCCCACCTTTCACAAAGAGCAGCTTTTCTGGTGAACCCCTCTTCATCCCTCAATGCCCCACTCACATCTCCCTCATGGAGGCCTCCCTGGAAGGTCCGGGGCAGCAGGGAGTGAGTATTCCGGGGCCCTGCAATCTCGGCTCCAGCACCCAGAGCTGGGTCCACCAGCAGGTGACTCAGAGCTACATGCACACCTGCCCTACTCCGCGAGGGTCCACCCAGGGAGCGAGCGAGCAGGCAGGGATGGCTGAACTGTCCCCTTCCATGCAGACGTGCAGGGGAGCAGGGGCAGGCCAGTCCCGTGCTGCCAGCTCCTGTGTCACTGAGCACGGCAGGGCTAGCAGAAAACATCCTGATTCAAACCCGACCAAGACGGCACCAGTTTTCTGTTGCAGACACGAGTCACACGTGCGGAAACTTATTATGCACACAGAGCAAGAAAACAGAAAAGCAAAAATTAAATTAGACGGCGGCCTGGAAAATGCCCGCTGTGCAGAAAGCTCTAGCTGAGGAATGTGCCTGGCCTCCCTGGGACCCAGCTCCTGGGGTATGGGGAGCCTCATGGGAGAGGGGAATGCATGGGGTTTCAGACGAGCAGGCCCAGAGGCATTCGTCCTCAGTCTGGACCCCAACCCCACCAGCTCCTGGAGCAGACAGAGACGGAGACGAGGAGGCAGAGACACTGGCTCTGGATGGAGGGTCCAGAGTCCCCCGTTCCCAGCCCAGGAAAGAACCAGGCAAGTCACCAGGAGGGCAGGCCTGGCGCCCCAGGGGAGCTCGCCGACTCCAGGGTGCTGCGGCGGGAACTGACCCCACCATGGGGATGGGGATGCCGGTAATCTGGCCCGCGTGTGCCCAGGATCTGGGGCTGGCAGAATGAAGGCCCTGAGGTATCCTGGACATTCGCAGAGTCTTTCAGGGCAGGAGTGTGGGTGCTACCTGGTGCCCAGAGAGACGGTGAGGGCAGGTCAGTTGAGAGCCCACATCCCTCAGACACCAAGTCTTCCTGGGAGCCCAGGCATGTCGCCAGTCGAAGTCCACACTGGGCCAGACCGCACGGAGCCCAGGAGGCCTAGGGCAGAGCAGCAGGTCAGAGGGCCACTGTGCCATCTAGCACAGGCTGCAAGCTGGCCCAGAAATGAACCCAAGGAGGCCGGCCCCCGGGTGCCCTCTCTTATCACCAGCTCCCACCTTTCACAAAGAGCAGCTTTTCTGGTGAACCCCTCTTCATCCCTCAATGCCCCACCCACATCTCCCTCATGGAGGCTTGCCAGCCAGGGCTGTTCCCCATTGGCCAGAGTCCCAGGCCCTGCCCACCCCCTACCCACTGGAGACCACCTGGCTGCACCTCCCTGCCTGGTCCCGGCAGCCTCACTGCCTCAGCAGTCTCTGGCACACGTGACACTGGGCAGACTGGCAACCGCATCAGCCCCATCCTTGGCCCCTCCCAGCCCCCGAATCGTGGGTTCCACGGGCCCTTCCAGCACAGGCTGGTCTGGGTGCAGGCAGACTGATGGCCTCACTGGCCCAGTTTATCACAGCGCCCTCCCGCGTCACGATGGCATGATATGTGTCACAGAGCCACCACCACTGCCTCGCCACCTCGGACCTGCACGCAGCAGCCTGCCAGTCAGCCTGTCACAGTCGCCACGTCACAGCTCCAGGCTCCACAGCACCAGGGGCAGAGTGGCGTGGAGTTCGGGCCCGGACGCTGGAGCAGCAACCAGAGACCCCAGCTCTGGGGGACCCTGGGTGTCCCACACCAGAGACCGGGAGACCGCTGTCCCAAGGCATCCCGCGCTGGCTCCCAACAGCCCAGGGAGCTGACAGCAGGAGGGACCTGGGCACTGGGTGACAAGCCCACCCGAGACGCCAGGACTCTCTGGGTGCAGGAGGTTAAGACCACCGCCCTGATGTCCATGCCAGGCCCGAGACGCCGCTGGGCCAGCATGGCCCCCACTCCTGCACGCTGCTGCCTCGGGCAGCCTGTCTGCCAGCACCTGCCCCTCCAGGGCCACTGTCGCCATGGCTACTGCAGCGCCTCCTCTCCGCCTGGAGCCCAGCCTGCGCCACGGTTCTAGGGAATGGCCACTGCAGCCCAGGTCCACAGTCCCTCCACCTCAGGAGGAGGCCTCATGAGCCCCGAGGGTGCTCCGCCATTCCCACCCACCCTTCCTAAGCTGGGGCCTCCCTCTGTGCTGGGGTCAAGGCCCCCACACTCCAGGGTGAGGTGTGCCCCCACTCAGCCCCATGGGCCTGCCGTGTCCACTCCAGAGGGACCCCCATCTGTCCTGGTCACAGCTGGTGAGGTTCTGCCTGGTTCTATTGCCTACCCTCCATGCAGGCCCTGGCAGCCTCTGGCTGGGGCCAACACCCGACCATCATGGCTGGGGAGGGCCTGCCGGGGTCCCAGGCTGGGCTGTGCTGTGAGTAGCAGCCCCGTCGCGGTGAGGACTCCCACAGTGCACCTAGCAGGCTGGCCGGCTGGAGGGCAGGTCTCTTGGCAGCTGCAAAGCCCCTCCACGCTTGGAGACCAGCAGTTCGTGGCTTTGCTCCTCAGGACAGTCCCCACTCCCCGCTGGCAGCCTGGCTGAAGTGTCCTTCTTGAGTGTACACCACGCAAGGGAGGACACAAGCCCTTCTCAGTCTGACCTAGGTGCTCTGGGCCACGGGGCTGGACGCTGAGGCTGTGGGCTCAGGTGCCCAACTGGCCAGGCACACCGGGCACAGTGGGACATGGCGCCCGATGAGATGGAAGCCGGGAACGGCTGGGAGGGCGATCCGCGGGTCTGTGTGGAGGGACCTGCCCCGCCACCATGCACACACGCGCTCACTACCACCAATGCACAAAATATTCAGAGTCTCATGTGCCTCCCAGGAGCCCCTCAGGCCACTGGCTGCAGTCGTGATGGTGCAGGAAGGCAGCACGTTGCACGGCCTCAGCCAGACACACGTGAATGCAGGTAACGGGTCCCCAGGAGGCCTGGGGCGTCCCACATCGACCCTGCCAGGACACCTCCCTCTCACTGCACAGCTTGACAGCTTGGCCTTGGCCGGGTCCTCTCCTACAGGCCAGTGTGGCAGAGACCAGACCCTGCTATGCCTGGAGACCTCGGCCCCTGGCCACCACGCCTCCCAGGGCCTGTATGGGGTCCTCAGTTGCACGAGCTGTCATCGCCCGCAGGCTTGGTCACGATGAAGTGCCTGCGGGGACCTATCTCACTGCTGCCTTGGGGACCTCCTGGGGGGCTCCTGTGTGCTCAGTCCACGTGGCACTGGGCCGGGCTCTTACCATCCACGCAGGCGGGCCGGGCTCTCGTGGTGCCGGCGATCTGCCCCTTCCTGCATGCGCAGCGCGCCGTCTGCCGGGCGATCGTCCTCCGCGGCTGGCTGCTGTCCCTGTCCAGGGTCACGATTTCACAGGTGCCGGCGGCCAGCTGACCTGTGAGAGAGGAGCAGACGCAGACTGAGGAACATGGCCGGCAGGGCAGTGGCCACCCACCCAGCGTCCAGGCCGAGGCCCGCCCATGCCACCGCAGGGGAACTGCTCAAACCACTGAGAGGCCGCCCACGGGCTCCACGAGGGCTAGGCCCACACCCCTTGGCATGGAGCTGAGCAAACCAATGTCATGTCTTTGTTGTGCCCAGAAATGAGAGGGCCAGGACCCCAGGAGGAGTCGGGTGCCCGCTCGCTTAGGTCTGAGGAAGGAGCAACAGCCGAGGTCAGCGTCCCCACCACGCTGCGTCCCCGGCTCCGTCCTCAGGTGCAGCCCTGCCCGTGCTGGCAGGTGGGTCAGGAGGTAGCAGACGCTATCGGGTCGCTCCAGGCCAGGCAGTGGCCACCTGCAGGAGCCGCCACTCACCACGTTACCACGCAGGGAGGTGAGGACCCACTGCACGTGTGAACGGCAGGAAGCACGCAGTGGCACGCCGCTCACACACACGCATGCACACACAAGCCGGTGGTGGACCTGGGGCAGACCTCACACAGGTGCACACGGGCTCCCAAGGATGCAACATGGCCACACATGAAACATGCAGGTGCATGGGGAGACGTTCTCTGGGGTGCACGTGTCCACGAAGAGAGGGCACACACTGGTACACACGGGCTACACGGCCGTAGCCCACACCCCTCTCCTAACCACGGACAGCTCATGGCAGCACGACGTGGGGGGCCGTGCTCAGGGTCAGGTGGCCCAACGTGTGCAGAGAAGCGACACTGGGCTGCCAGGTGACAGCTCACATGGCTCCTCGGCCTCCACTTGTGCCCTGGATCTGGAAACAGCCCATCTCTCTACTGGGCCAATGCGGCAGGCACCTCGGGACGAGGGGGACGGCAGGAAGGCTGGACTGTAGAACGTTCCTCTGCCGCCAGCGGGTGCTGAACGGCGTGCTGGCACGTGAGGGTGTGACAGGCAGTCAAGGGGACAAGCCCCCCCGGGAGGACAGAGGTGTCTCGGCCAGTCGGTCGGTACTGCCACATCTGCCCTCAGGGAGAGCACAGGTGGCCCCTTGGCCACGCAGCCCACTCAGCACACGCGGCCGGGCCTTTCCCCGGGGCGCCCCGCCACTCATCGAGAAGAGCCAGCACCGACGGCCTCCTGTCCTCTGCACAGGGCCCGGCCTGGACCGAGAGCAAAGCCACGGCCTCTTGCCCTCAGGGGTTCTCACGCTTGGGGGAGGTGGCATGAGACGCCCAGTCCTGGGGACCCAGCCAGCATGGTAATGCAGGGACAATGGGGGCTCAGAACAAGGGCGTGGAGGTGACCCCAGGAGGGTGGTGGTAGGTACAGCAGGGCGTGGGCAGGAGACGGTGGGCAGCTCCTGTGGCTGCAGCCCAGGACCCTTATCCACATGCCTCCCGTGTTACCATCACGACACCTGCCCCTCTAGGCAGCCGCCCCACAGTACTGCCACTGTCACCCTGGTCCCAGCCCGGCCTGGCCCAGGCCAGCAGGTGCAGGTCTGGCAGGTCCGGTGGGCAGAGCGGCCGCTGGGCTCCGTTGGTCCGGCACTCAGGCTGAGGTTTCCCGGGCCTGGGAGTACCCGGGAGACATGGGACAGCTCCAGCGGACTCCGAACATGCCTGCCCGGCCCTGTGTGCCCACAGCACAGGGCAAGGCTCCGGAGGGAGCTGCTAAGATGTCCCCAGACCCACCAGGCAGGGCTGGCGGGCGCATGGCCACTGTGTGGCTCAGGACGCGGACACAGGCTCAGAGCAGAGAATGGGCAGTGGGGCCTCTGAGGATGGCAGCCCCATCCCTAACAGCCCAGGCCTCCCCCCCAACCCAGACGGGCGACACCGGGGTCCCAGCGCAGCCACCTCCCCCAGGCCGTGGGCGTCTGAGCGCTCTCTAGCTCATCTCAACGAACCATGAGCTTCTCCAAAGATGGACGGGTGTGCAACTGAGCAGGCAGGTGACCGGCCAGCGGGCACTCGGGGTCGTGCAGACCCCTTCCGTAACCACGGTGGTGCCAGGAGGCAGACTACGGACAGATGCGCACCTGCGCTGACCCGGGTGCGGCGGACAGGTGCTGTGATGCACGAGCGTCCCCTGATGCAGTTGGGGCTCCCGCCCTCCTGCTGGGTGAGCTCTGGGGTTCACAGGCCGCGGTGGTTCCAGGCCGTGTTGTCCACCTTGACCCACACACCTCTGTGACGGCCGTGTCCAGCAGAGACTCACGGGGTCCAGGCCACCTCGGGCCAGCTGCCTCTTCAAGGTGGCCTGGGATGGGGTGGGTGCACGGAGCCGTCCACCCACTGTGGCTGGCCTAGCCCAGGGACGGGGCGCCGAGCTGGAGGGAACGCCAAGCAGTCAGAAGGTGTCCCGCCCAGAGCCTGGCCACGACCAGGCTAGCGGACCCCCGACCCACCGCCTACCTCATCACCAGGCCTGGGCGTGCATCACCCCAGAGCTGGGGGCCTGTCCACAGTGGACCCACTGGGAAGGTCCCTGAGAAGCAAGCCAGGAACAGCTGAGCCGAGCGCCCCACGACAGCTGCTGGCTGTCTCCCCCTCAGACACTGGGGATGCAGGCCACGTCCCACGGACCGCAAAGTGTGGGCTCTGGGTTGACAAGGCCATAGGCCCCCACTGTAGCTGCAGATCCACCAACGTGTGCTCTAGAGGAGGAGCGCCCCACACAGGCAGCTCCTGACATCCCTGAGCCCACAGACTGATCACACTGCTTCGGAGGTGACCTCAGAACCTTCTGACAGTGACTTCGGCAAACTCCGGCTCAAGGTGTGAAGGGCCTCTCTGCCCGGCTTTCTCCCCACTCACCCGAGGGCCTCACCCTCCTGAGAGCAGCAGGCACACCCTTGGGACCTCGCCACGACGACGCACCTCACGAAGACCCTATTTCCAAAGAAGGGCGCACAGGCAGGACCCGGGGACACGACTCAGCACACAGCAGACAGAAAAGCAGCTTCACCTGAGAACATGGGGACGTTGCCATGGCTTGGTGGGGGCTTTAATAAACACTAGGTGACAGGATTATAAAAAGGGAAAAATCCCTCTGCCTCCAGGGACGGCCTCTCCTGACCGCTCCTGACACCACGGGGGCAGCAGCCCGTGACTGCATACCACTGCCTGCTCGGGGAGATGGCGGCTCTGCACCTGGCCCCTCAGAGACCCTTCCACAGCCATGGTGCTGCCTCAGAGCTGGAGCCAGCCAACCCCAGGAACTCCCACAGCCAGCGTAGCCACGGTGACACGGCCCAGACTCAGACAGATGGGCATCCACCTCCCCAGGGCAGCAGGGCTGCCGCTGGCTGGGACAGGTAGGCTCTCTCCGCTCCACTCCTGCCTCTGAACGAGGGAGAAAACCTGGCCCCGTGCAGGGAGCGGACGGCCTTGTCCAGAGGGTTCTCCCGCTCGGGGTGAGCTCAGGTCCATTGAGAGCCATGCAGCTGGGGGAGGCCCTGCACGCTCAGACTCCACGCCCAACTCTGCAGAAATGCACGGGAGTGCCAGCCTTCCGCCCACCCCGTCCATCCTGCCCTGGGGGCCAGATGGCTGTCGCTGAGCCAACAGGAAGACCCATGTTCCAGAGGCCACCCCGGTGGAGCGGAGCGGCCAGGCCATCCTGCTCAGTGAGCCCGAGTGTCTGTGCCAGGGGCTTCTGCAGGCCAGCATGTGCACACCCCAAGTCAGCTCCCAGTGACCGCCGGCCCAGTGCCTCTGTCTCTCAGACGCCGTCCCTGCTGGGCAGCCGCGGCACAGTGGGGTGACCAACAGCTCACATCTCGCCCGACTGGGCCACACTGAACTCCCTGGGGCAGTGACACAGGGCGGGCTACAAGCCCAGCGTTGTCCCCACCTGGGAGGGGCACAGCAGACTGGTCACTGGGCTGGACAGGGTCTGGGCGGCTGCGTCAGGCCTTCCACAGCCCTGTGTGGCCAGTGCATTTATCACTGTTCCTGAGGACTACATAGCCACAGCTCAGGAGGTCGCCTCTCCTGCTGGGTGGCTGGGGATGGGAGAATATGGGGTGGCCCCGGGGCCTCCTGGGCAGGAGAGGAGCCTGGGGACACGTTTGCTGTCCCCGTCCCAGCTGCCTGCGGTCTGAGTGGGCCATGCGTTGACGGGGCAGGAGGCGCACCTAGGCAGTGCAGGCAGGTTGGCACAACACAGGCCCAGAGTCCCAGCTGCCTGCAAAGCGAGGGCTCTTCTGGGGGTGGGGGAGGGGCTGAGGCCAGGTCCCCTCTAGGCCACTCTGCCACCGGCCTTGGATCCCTGGGGGTGGGCGTGCACAGACCAGCCTGCATCTCAAGGTGGGCCAGGAAGGGGCCTCCTCAGTCGCACAGACCAGCCTGCATCTCAAGGTGGGCCGGGCAGGGGCCTCCTCAGCCCACCCTGCCCACTGGCAGAGCCAGGGCTCAGAAGGGGCGGGGCCAGGTTTCAGGGGGTGGGACCTGGGTCAGGAGGGTCTGGGAGGGGGTGTGTGTCAGGGCTCAGCAGGGGGCAGGGCCCAGGATTGGAGGACCAGGGCCAGGGATAGAGTGGGGCCAGGTGAGAAGCTGGTTCTGCCACTGGGAGTGAGGAGGGGAGACAGATCCAGGCGGCAGGTGGCACCAGGAAGCCCGCAGGAGCTGCAGAGGGAGGGCCACAGGTCCTGAAACAGCTACTGAGAGGGTTCATCTTGTGCAGTTGGGCCCAGCTCCCATACGACACGGGAGACGTGGGCTCCGGGGAGAACTGCAGGCTTTCTGCCTCAGAAGTTGATGGCTCTGGGGCACTTGCCGTGAGCAGCCTGGCTCAGGGCTTCCTGGGAGTGTTGGGGGCCTTGGGAGGCAGGTGATGGTCAGTGCTGTGGGGAGCAGGTGTCTATGGAAGCTGCCGGGGACGCAGGACAGTCAGGATCCGAAACGGGCCCGCCTGCTCATCATGTCTGCGTCAGGAGCAGCTGCCCCCTCAGGGCCAGCACGGGACGTCCGGG